AAGTATACTTACCCTTCATCAATCAGCTTGCACTATTTTGATCAGAAAATAGTACAAAATAGGCATCATGAAATTTTATATTTCTTGATTCTGGTACATTACAAAAATATGACAATATCAACTTCTTAAATACAGCTAAATATCCTACGGCCATTTAATACTTCCATTGTTACTACAAGACTATACATATGTGGAGGAAAGAAAATTATCAAAGAATGTTTTGGATCTTTCAAAATGTTACAACTGTCTGTTTAATAGTCCGTTCAAACTTTATATGTTCTTTTGAGTTTATTATCTAAGGTGAACTATTTGTTTTTGTATTTATATGAATGGGGCAGTGAAGGTGTTCATATGCACAAAACAATTGCTTTTTAGCAAAATTTGGAATCTCACATGAAAAATTTAAAACAAAAATTCAACAAGGTAATTAAAGTAATATCAACTCAGTTATACTTTCAAAACTAGCGATAAACTATGGCTATGCAAAGAATTAATTAAAAACTACACTCTCGAAGAGTTCACAAAAAATTTACACAAACTGTACGACCAAAATAAGGAAAATGAAAGAATTTTGCTACGAGTTATCAATGACAATGAATGAATGTCGATGATGTCACGTTCGCATTATTTTGTCAAGCTATGAACTATAACAATATTCTCTGCTTAAGGTTTTATTAAGTAAATAGTGATGTCGGATGAATAGCTTTAGAACATTGAGTTTTGATGTCGTTAAACATTCACGGTGTACATTAAAAAAAACACAATTGATTTTATTAAACTTTTTGATGATCAGTGAAAGACTCTCAATGAAAACAAAAGGTTTCCAAAGAAATAAATGATCATAAAGTTCCGAAATTTTCATAGCGTGACTAAACTTGAGAACTGACTACGCTACTTAACACAATCGCTTTTATAGAAAATTAATCGATGGTATTTCAAATATTAGTTGTTTATATAAATACCTTGGTAGAAGCGTTCAAACTTTGGACGTACTTGTCTTCTTTGGCATAAGAGAAAATGTCAAGCAAGGTACAAAATGATTAAATATGGTTTATTACATTGAAACAAGAAGGAAAACTTTCTCCCTCAAATAAAAATGAAAATAACAAACTAGAAACAGGAAACATTGAGTTGGCGTACTTCATGTAAGAAAAGATATAATATCTTTTAACAAAGGCTCCTTTAATGAGGTATAGGCTTCTCTGCACTAGGTTAAATTAATTTCTCATTTGGCATTTTCTGTTTTTTGTTAAGTACTTTCAGTAATATATGTTAGTTAAGCTGCAAGGGTTACAGATGTTGGTATCTTTGGTTAAAAAGATTGAACGAGCATGCAGATTTTGTTCGAGTGGTCTCCTTTGATTTTGGTAAAACCTTTGATTCAGTTTCAAATAGCGTCGTAGTTTAAAATTTTTCTTTTCCAATCTGACTCCGGTTACTTGGTGTCTCTTGCTTTTTTGTTGATCGCATAAGTTTTTATGCTTCGTGCAATTACTTAGCGACATTTTTTTCTTTTAGAAATTCAATGAACGATGAAATGACATCATGATGGAAAAACTCCGATGATGTCATGATGTCAAAAAAAACATAAAACATTATATATGATGCCATAAAACTCGATTGAAAAACTCCGAGCCTTGATCTGTTTGAATGTGGGTCGGTTTACGTCCTGATGACAAAATCTTTTTAAAAGCTTCCACCAACGATGACCCTGTCTTGTTTTTCAATGGAACGGTACACGCATATTTGGAAAAAACATCGATACAGATAAGATGATAGCGATAACCATCGTTATACTTTTGCAAAGATTGCATGTCTGCAAGATCCAATTGCCACTGATCGCCAATACCACTCACTACGACACGATTTTTTTCAAACTTTCTTGGAATAGGTTTATGCAAAGAGTATGCGTCTTGTTGCATGAGCCATTCTTTAATTCTTTCATATATTCCTTCTGCCTTTACATCGTAAAAACGTTCAACACCCCCGTAGCTTCCTGAACGTTTGGGATAAAAATACAAACTGGCTAAGTATTTTTCAATGTCACTCATGGCAATGCTCTCGTGATAATAATTTTACGCCTAGGTGTTGATTTCTTTTAACTATTCATGAATGACGAGGGTCGTTGTTTTCAATTGCAGACAATGTTTCTTCTACGTCATTATCTGCTGTGGGTTTAACTGTGGCAGGTCCATAATTGTTCACTGTTTTGCTCGTGTATCCTGCTTGTAAATGTCCTTCAAGATTAAGATCATTGCGTCCAAAACTTATGCCAAAACGAAACATTTTCTGTCCATTATGATTTTCATCCCTTTTCAAAGTTTTATTGTGGGCTTTACTCACACAAATACCCATGACTTTTTTTCACTAAGTGCCTTACCTTGAACACCCGAAGAAATGAGCACTATCCCCTTCTACAGCACGGACTTTATAGATTTTTGAGATAGCAGTTTTGCTACACTGCCGTTACAATAGTTCCTCACTGACGGGGGGCAAACCTTGGCAATGTTAAACAAAATTGAAGTCAACAACTGAAAAAAATTTATCGAAATGATTTAAATAATGTCATACAGTTGTTTTATATTTTAGTTTACAGCAGCAGTTAGCATAATCAAATGTTAAAAAATGACGCTCTCGTTGTCCGTGTGTAAATGGTCAGCAGTTCGATCCATCTTGCTTTCAAAAGTTTTTCATAGTAAGTTTTGTGAGAAGTTGTGGGTTCACCAAACTTCATAAACTTGAAAGCCTCGTAAATTGAATGCCATACATGTTCTCTAAATGCCAAACATTTATACGACATTCCTTTCACGAGAAAACATCAGCCCAACAATATTGACCTTCTCACCACTGTGTGACTTCATAGCTCAGTTGGTCAGAGCACTGCACCGGCACCGCAGAGGTCATGGGTTCGAATCCCGTTCAGTCACTTGATTTTTTTAGGATCTGAGACTATTGCTTATATTGTCCAGCAAAGTGCGAAGATCATATCTTCATTTAATTTCAAACACCGCACTGCATAAAGTATTTATACGACATTCCTTTCACGAGAAAACATGAGCCCAACAATATTGACCTGCTCACCACTGTGTGACTTCATAGCTAAGTTGGTCAGAGCACTGCACCGGCACCGCAGAGGTCATGGGTTCGAATCCCGTTGAGTCACCTGATTTTTCAGGACCTGAGACGATTGCTTAAATTGTCCAGCAAAGTACGAAGATCATATCTTCAATTAATACATGTTCTCTGTTGAAATCATCGAGTGTACATTGTGCAAAACAAAACCATTTTTCTTCTTCTGTCATTAAGGTGCCTGAATTACTCCACGGACTTCCTTTAGTTGCCTCAAGTTCGGAAGAAACTCGACCAAAATCAAATTGATAAGATCACTGTGACTAACTTCTTCAAATTCAAAAATGTCTGCATACATCTGATCAAACAAGTGTGCCATAATGCCTTTTTCTTTTCCACCACCGCGAACAAATGTCCAAAAGATACACAGCAACGGTCAATACGAATAACATTTCCAAAATGACAGTTCGACTATATAGTTTGAAGAATGAATACACAATGACATAGATCCGGTATATTAACCAATAAAAAATAAGTCGGATCTAATGTTACTTTGTCAGTAGCATGCAACTTCCAGCTTTGTCGTATTTTAGATTTTCACGCCATCCAATGCCATGCCTTGTTTATTAACCCTTATTTCCGGTTGACATGCGCGCGCACTAGTTCACTTTCGAAGCCTGGATACTAACTGCCACGGGTAAGAGCTCTGTGACAAAAGTGTGACAAAGCTGCATCTTATCTACTGAGGTTGTCCTAATGTTATTGCTCTGTCCTTAGTTATACTGCTCTCTCCCATTTTGTAAAGTAAGAAAAACATAAAAACTTAAGATTTTAAAATTTTAAATTAGAAAAGAACTTGTAAACACATTTATCATTAATTCATGTCAATATTTTACTGCATATATTCTACTTATATTTAAATTAACTATCACTGTTTCACATTACTACCATATATGTTGTATCATATACAAAATATTGTCACCAATACTGAAGATGCATCACGAAATGTTAAAACATGTTTATTTTGAAGAACTCCAATGTTTACTTTAGTCATCTAAAGACAACAAAATGTACGCTATGCGTACCTGTTTTTTATAAGATGACCCAAACTTAGAACATGAAAAATCGGTTACATTAAAGTGTTTAAAGCAACTGGATCTCCAAAATTATCAGTAAAACGTTTATTGTTGTGTACAATTGTTACAAGTTAAAACTGTAGCTATATATTGTACGTTGTATTACCATCAACATTATAATGATAAATTTTATTTTAAAAATTGAAAACAGAAAGTAAAGTTTTTCATTCTTCAATATTTTGATCAAAAAATTTTACTCAAAAAAAATTCAATTCCTTAGTTCAAATGAATTTATGTGAAAATCGTAAAAGTTTTATTTATTTATTTTCATCATAGCTATTGACATGACATCATGATGTTTTTACATACGGGAATTGTTGACAGTATATAATAAGTTCTTTCTTTAAGGTCATATGTACATAATAAACGTACAAAAATGATCTCTCACATTTTTCAACTAATGACCATAAAACCCAATGACATGACATGACATCATGATCGTGTTTTAAATATATGAATTTTTAACATCATACAAAAGTTGTTTCCACGATATTAACATACGTAAGGTAAATTTTATTGACAGTTTTTGAAAGAATGTTCAAAGAAAGTCACTCTTTAATTCAAACAAAATAATCTTCATCTACAACACCATATTGTCAAATGACTCACAATGAATGAGTTGTCGACATTCTTTCATTTCTATGTAGTGAACGTTTAATATATAATAAAAATAACCAAATTATCTGACCATACATTTGTATTAAAAAGTAAACCATCAACATAAAGTTTGTTCAGCGATCAAAGGTTTCTCACTTTTGGTAATTTTCACATGTAAAACAAGCGACCATCCTTACTACAATCAACATCTTCGTGTGATATTCTCAATTTCATCACAACTTTGACAATGTTACAGTGTTGAATTCTCCAAATATAAATTTGAAAGTTGACGGGAATCATAGGATAAAAAAGATCCTTACTTGACATTACAAAAAAAATAATCTCTTTCTCCGTCCGTGATATTTTTACATAATTACAAACTGACAGTTTTTCTACGGTTAAAACAAAGGATATAGACAATTTTTTCTTATATTTTTGAGTTCGTTCTTGATACCATAAATAACTGTCCTTTTGTGATATAAAGAACTTTTTATGTTCGTTTTAAGTGATATGTAATGTTAGTAAATACAATAGGTTAATATAACTAAAAAAAGGTTGAGTTAGTGGATTCATTCAGGAACATTGAGTTTAAAAAATTTGATTCCGCATCCAACATTTGTTACAACAGCTAAAGTATCTGTGTTGGAATGCATAGATATATTAAATTCAGAATTTAATCCGTAAAATTCAGCACATATTTCACCACTCTTCAAATCTACAGCAGCCAATTCGTCACTAAACGATTTACCAATGCAATACGATTTATGTACAATTACGTCTTCACCATATAAAAGATCCTTGACTTTACACAAAGTCACATTCACATCATCGTTTTCATTCATATTAATTATAAAAAAGCTCAGAAATCGATCCAAAATCTTAACTGTAACGACTGCTTGTTTACTATCACATATACAACAGTTGAACTCTAGATCATTTACAGTTATCTGTTCTTGAACAAATTCTTTAATGACAGCTGTCTTGGGTATTTCTGCAGTATACCAAGTTTTCAAGTAAAGTTTATTTTTGTTATTTCTCCATTTCCATAATGTGTATTCTGTAAAGTTTACAGTTAAAATAACAGAATTATCAGGTGATACAGCTGCTGCTTTAATTTGAAAACTATCGACAGGAAGTCTTTTGTTGTATTGTATCTCACCCTTGGTAATTCTAACAACTTTAACAAAATCTAGTTTGTCAATACAAACTAAGACATCACCAAATGTTAAAATTTCTTTAAGTTTAAATCCAATGTTTACCTGCTTTGCTTGAGTAGAATCTACAAAATTTTTAGACGAAGTGGATATCTTCGTAAGATGATCAGAACCATCCCATATCCACAGTAAACCAACTGACCACCAACATCCTAATGCATTCTTCAGTTGCATTGGTACAGTTTGAATAATAGTGCAACGTTCAATGCTCCAAATATGAATGTTGACGTGGTCACCAACAGCGAAAGCAGCAAAAAAAGATCCATCCGGTGAAAAACAACAACATTTAATTTCAAATTTCTCAAAGATAAATGAAGGTCTCCAAAGATGATCAGTTTTGAAAATTTTAAGCTTTGAAAAATACGGCACTACGTATAATTCCTTAAACGAGATGGGATAGACCTTATCAAGAAACCTACGAACACATGGACACACAACATTTGGTAAACAAAACTCGATTTCTCCTTTATCGTTGTATTTTGTGAACTGAGTGATTTCAGAAAGCTTTACAATCTGGTTTGTACGATAAAAAATACAATCACGATAATGGTGTGTTATCATTGAATGTAAACGTAGTGGATTTTTCTTTTTAGTTGAAAAAATATCGATTGCCTTTGGAAATTGAAAAACATACGAAGTCTTGACGAAGTCTGCAACAACGAACTCGGAATATTTATCGGTACATTGTAGTTTTTGGTATTCAACAGCGCATCGTCGATCGATTCTTTGCAAAGTTAATGAATTCCACGCTGTGAACACTTCGTCTATGACAAGATCATCGTCGTTCTCATTTTCTACATATTCTGCTGTAATGAACATACCAGAATCTAAGAAAGAGCAACGATTAACGACATCATCTGACTGTAAACATAATAACAAACGTCCATTGTTAACGTCCCACAACTTTACTTCAGTAGATCTATCACTAGTTACCAGTCTATTTCCGGTAGGTGAAAAGGAGCAACAACTGATGTTTCCTTGTACAAAATAAGATTCCTTTAATGTTGAATAGTCGTAGATGTCATACAGGGACATAACTAAGTTAACATTATACCACTTATCCAACGATGAATCATCAAGTGCAGTGCCGAGAATGCATCTTTCTGTAAATTCTGGAAGTTTAAAAATAGATATTTGACCATTTTCATATCCTACAGCAAGAAGTTCTTCATTGGACGACACACAAAGAGATGTAACGTTAGCACGCAAGGAGACAGTCAAATGATGATGGTTTGTTAGATATGTTGAGTCTAAATCCTCAAACCAAGAAAAGTTTCCTTGTTTCAACAAATCCTTAGCTAATAAGCATTTTTCGTTACTGCCATCAATTCTGTTTGCAATACTTTGTAAAAAAATTAAGCTTTTATCAGTCTTAAATGACTTATATCTCATTATCGTTACCTCCCTTAACAAATGAAATAGTTGTTCCTCAAGTACATCTTTTCCCAAGAAATTTTGTAGTTTCTTAATGATTTCAAGCAATTCAAACCTAATGGTATACATGTCAATGTCTTTCACACACATTAACCTCGCAAAAAACACTTTGACATCTACTGCCCAGCTAAAGTCAACATTTTCGCCACATTCTGACATTTGATAGATTCCATTCTTCAAAGCATATTTAATCATCGCAGTGTTCATCTGATCTTCAAAAATGTTCATCGACTTGATGTGTTTAAACACTTTTTCACAAGCATGCCATAAAAACTTATGTCCATTTTTTGGATTAACTGTAAACTCATGCTCTTCATAACCATCTGATTTTAACCAATCAATGAGAGACTTGTGATACACGGTTAAACAATCATCGTAAACTGGCAAAATTTGAGATAACAGTTCAATGATTTTACTGCGGATTTCAAACTTGATGTCACCAGAAAAACCTAAATAGCTAAGCAGTAAAGTTAATGGTAAAAAACCCCGACAGGCAGCCAACAATTCAAGAAATTGCATGAAAGTAGGTTCTGAGATAACAGAATTTCTGCGACTTTTCTTTGTTAACAATTCTTTTACTCTTTTGAATTGCTTTGTGTAAACACCGCTTAACCCACTAGGGACCAATTGTTGAATGTTTTCGTAAGTAAGCTCAATATTTTCTTTATTCAAGCTTAGTTGTGCGTTATACGCATAAAGAAATGATCCCTCACATTTTTTAACTAATGACAACAGAACGTAGCGATCTTCCTGCACCCGATCATTCAACTGATGTCTCAAATACCTGTGCAGGTCTTCTTCGTTGTTTTCTTCGCGAGGATGAGTTGTAATTTTCACAGGATTCATGTCTTTCAACTCCTTTTGAATAGGAAGTTCTGGACGACTGGTGATAAAGATTTTAATCCATTTAGGCAGTCGGTCAAACTCTTTTGCTATCAATTTCAACAATTCACTTTTGCCAGCAACTTGGCTTTCATCTAAGGCATCAATAACCAAAAGCATTGGCTCATGATCTTCCAATGAATGCAATGGATTATTTAATAAAACACGGAATACATCGGCGACTGATTTGTAGGAATGGTTTCTCTGTAATTCTTCAATCAGTTTACATTTGAAATGTAATATTGTATCACACATGCTACTAGCCAATGATTCTATCAACATTCGAGGATTCCTCTCATCTGATCTATTATACCTGCAGAAATGAGAAGCAGCAAGTTTCTTCTTTTCAGAATATCGTCGACACACCTCAGCAGCAAACACACTTTTACCAACACCAGGACCGGCAATCAAAATCATGACATTAGAAGCATTTTCCCTTCTATCGTTAAACCAAGTGTCGAGTTCTTTAAATAACCATTGTCTAGTGCCTTCAAGGTATTTCTTGTTAAGATCTTTTTTAAGACCGTTGAAATTACACTTTCCAAGCTTTTCGACATCTGAATATGTTTTCTCCTGTAACATTTTTTTTACTCCTGCCACATCAGCTTTTGTTTTCTTTACATCCTCATTTAAGTCCGTAACTTTGGTTGCCATCTCTTGTTTCATCTCTACAACATTTCTTTTTATTACTTTCACATCTTCTTTGATTTCTTCAGTGACATCGAGTAGCTGCTCCTCTGTTTTATGCCATTCTTTTAACATTTCAATATAATTTGCCTCATCGGTAGCGAGGGGAGCTTTCTTTAATTCATCTAATTCAGTTTGTTGAATAACCAGACCAACCAATGCTTTTGAAATTTCCTGCCACAAGTACTCAAACTCACTATCATCTACACTAGTTGTAGTTATGTGACCGTACACTTTGTTTCGATAAAACTTTATTCTTGCAATATTTGCTGAGACTGAAGTATCTGATGAGGAAGGAAGATTATCCCATCCACTATGTGGCGCTGTTAGACCACAAATGTTACGCAACAAGACAGTCAATAATGAAATATCAAAGTTGCTAATTTTGGGTGTATCATTTGAAGGGTAAAGAAGGTTCCATTGCTCTTTGTTCACTACTTTTTTCTTTTTTAATGATTCCAATTTCTTTCTGTTAAAAGGATCATTAAGTTTGTCTTTTAAGTTTGATGATTGAAGGTTTATAATGAATTGCAATGTTGTTTTTAAGGCTTGGGTTCCTTTATTGATTAAAAGTTTACTCAAACGAAATCCATTTTCCTCAATCTTTAATTTTTTAGGTGGCGAAGCCATTTTTTACTCTAGAAATGAGGAATGAGATTGTGAAAAAAGGTATAATTTAAAATTTACAAAATGTTTACAAAAGTTAAAAGAATAAAGTAAAAACAGTACTACAAGTCATTTATAAAGACTTGTGTGCTTCATTTCTTTCTCTCGATAAAAATTGTGTTCGCTGCCTAGTGACATGACCCAGTAATTGATCTTACATCAAGGCATTAAAATAGTAGACTTGATACAATGAAAAAACACAAAAAAAATAATATTTTCGCCTACTCGGCGCGAGAGGCAACAACTACCCTTCAATAGTAACTCCTAGTCAGTAAATAATATATCTTATTTGTCTAACTATCGTGTGGTGCAGAGATACGTCGTTCTTTTAACAGGACATATCAAACTGGTTTGCTGTGTTGTATGAATATTTGCTTATTAACATTTTGATAGGACTATATTGCTGATGATTCTGTTCGAGTATAAATTTAGGCTAGGCTGCAGTTTAGCGGACACCCGAAGCGCTTATGACCGCGGGCTCGTTTTTGCATGTGATTATAGGGTAGGGTTTGGGTCAGCGTCCAAGGTGTTCGCTAAACTGCAGTAGTTCCCCATAGTACCATAGCTTGATTTTAATCATATATTTGAATTATTCTTCTTTTTTGACAATCTGTTAAATCCAAATCGTCATTATTACTAATTGAAATGAAAATAAAGAAAACTATATCCTATCTGCTTTACATTTTCCTCACCAAAACACAAAACACAGGGTGAGAGATAAACAACGCAACATATGAATAAAATACAGAACAAAATACAAGTACGGACTGCACAGAGTATCAAGTTACTTGTATTTTTCGCCCAAACGAGATATATTTGACGTCTGTAATCACCACTAAAGCGTATAAATGAATGATATTTTCAGCTGCAAGGTTTTGACTATAGTCACTAAAGCAAAGTGCAGATTATACGCTCTAAAGCATAGGTAATTGAAGAACAACATAAGTATTGACTTTACTTAAAACAATTCTATTTGTGATCGTTCACATATGTGACTATCACCGATGACACAGCCGAGGATATCACGACGAACAAATACTGCCTGCCTCACTGCCTCACTCAGACACTTTTTCAGTATGGCATAGTGGTTAGCCGTGCATGCACAGCGGCTACCCACAAAAAGTAACTAGGGATAAATTATATTATTGTTATAATACAGTATAACTTGACGTCTACAACTGCTCCCCCTCTCCCCACTTAAAGCGTGATTCCGTTTGAAGATGCTACGAGAATTTCTAATAACTTAACAATTGATGAGTGTCTTCTGCATGATGAGATAACGTAAGAAAAGTACAAATAATACATAAATCATTCATTACTTTTTCTATAAACTTTAATTTCGAAATTTTCATTTGTTCAACTGGGGAGGCATCGGCCCCTATTATACTACAGACTCAAGGCAAAATGCCCTCTTGCCTATCACCTCACGGCGGGCCTGGCCTGACAGAGAAATTTCTCGACTATGTGTTGTTACACGATTTAATTCAAGTAACTAAAACAGATAGACACGTTGGAAAACAAAACAAGTATCATGATATCAGTTTCTCTGTGTACATGCTAAATTAAACTTCATCTAAGAATAAATTACGTGCAAAATGAATGATGATGAAATATGTACGTTATCATGAGTTCATTTTGACCACTGGAACCTATCTTTCCTTTACATTTATACATTGTATTGTTTACTTAAGTTTAATTATATTAAAAAATAATGATTGATGATGAAATATATACGTTATCATGTGTTCATTTTGACCCCAGGAACATAAGCTTTAGTTTACATTTATACATTGTACTGTTTACTTAAGTTTAATTTATTTAAAAAGAAATGTCACATTATGACGTGGCATTTGTGAATGTCAAGCGCATCACTGACTCAGAATTATTTATTATCAAACCTTTTCTTCGTGTAAGAGCCGCAATTTTTATAGTGGATAATTTGAAACAAAATATGAAACCTACTTTCCAGTCGTGGTATTAAATATAGCTTTAAAAGTCACTTATAGAATCATTCAAACGATTTTCATTTGGAATGGAAATAAACATAGATTTGTTTATAGTCATACTTCATACTACGCAATGCTTCGGTATCAAATTTGTTAAGTTAGAAATGTAAATACAAAATCTCGGTTAACTTACCTAAAATTACCTTTGTTTTAGAAATAAGACTTCATATACGACGATCGTGTGGACAAAATTATGCTTGCTTTAGTTCTTTACATGTTACATACCTAACGAAAGATGAGAAATTTAATATAAACAACGCGACTACATACATATCAGTTAAAAAATAGTAATCATAATTAATTCATACATTATTGAAACATCAACTTTTTATCCATATGAGTTTTGTTACATAAACACATTTAAATAACAAACGAAGATGAAAAGTGAGTCAGGATCTCCTTCAACAAACAATATTATTCTGTAACTAAGTATACATCACTGACTAAAAACATTTGTTATAGAAATAAAAATACATAAATTAGAACCTCATGCAGAGTACATAATAAAATTGTGATATGTCGAATTCCAAAGGACTACTGCTAAATTTTACAAAGTTTCACAAGTTTTAACTCAGGAATAGAGAATCACCTATTAAAGACAGGTAGTCCGTGATCTGTGGCCGATTTTCTTTCATTCCCGTTGGACACCTCAAGGAAGGTCGTGAAAAATTCAAGACAGAACGACTTTTACATGCTTAACGCAGTTTTACTTCTTGTCATCTCCAAAAAGCTGCAGTTTTTTTGCTATATTACATTAAAATTTTAAAATTTGTAGCTCATTACAATTTCGGAATCCGCTATTTTCCCTGGGAAACTTCATGTTATTTATATTTTGTGTGCTAGTGCCAGACCTAATAAAGAGCTATTCCGCACGATAATACTGGCAACATAAATAAAATGTCTGAAAGAAATACATATTTCACTCGTGCATTAGGTTGGATTTTAGCAATTGTTGCGAAGATAATATTTTGAAAGTTATAATCGTATTGTGCAAGACAAGGCGCGCTTTTTTTAAAGGTCTGTCTCGAATTCGTCGTCAATGTCATCATCTAAAAACTCCTCTTCCTCAACATCATTGTCGTCATCAATATCTACATTCGTGCATGCAGTACACGACCATACATCTGTGTACTTCACTCCTGCTTTGTTACATGAACAACGTTGGGAGTTACAGCCATGTTGCAGCCAGTCTTTCAACCACAATGAACGTTGTCAAGTAGGGAATTCGGCGCTAGGGGAATGGTCATCCATGCGATTTCAGACTTGCAGTTTCCCGTCACTCGTTTGCCACCCATTTTCATCCGGAGGAGTAATATCCATTTGTGGTTCTAAACAGAAAGGCCAAAGCGCGGCTTGGTACAAAAATGTAAGTTCCATAAACTTCCATTGCTAATCAAGAGTTAGTGTAAATATTGCTAAAGTCATTCTTATTGCATTCTGTATACAACTGAGAGGTATTTTGCAAAAAGAAGTTAAAAATCTCAGTTAAGAAGCATAAAATCTCAAAACACCAAGCTAGAACTCAACATTATATGATTCTTAGAACAAACTTAGCTACTATTTGTTTACAATATGTCAGAAGTGGTAAACTTTTGTATTTTTCAACAATCTCTTTCATAGGTTGTGATGATTGTTAATCTTCAGTTAAGGCTTTATGCTCAAGATCATGTTTTACAATTCAAGAAAGAATATTTTTCAGTGAGCCATTTCAGAAGCCAGAAAGCTGGGGTTTTTTGCTTGGGTTGAAACTTGTTTTATTGTAAATTTGATTAGCGAGGACTTTCATAGATAAAAGTTGTCTTTGTCATACCATGAGAGTGAAAGAGTTCTGGCACATTGATTGAAAAAGTGATCCTGTATATATATTTCTCAACAAGAAATGTAGTTATGATTCTGATCTATACATACTAATTTACTAATTTACTCTGTTGTCCTTTGATAAAAGTTTATAATGTTGATTTAAAATAAAGAATATCTGAATTATTTTTGAAGTCATTCTTTATATAATCAATGCATGGAAACAGCAACTAAAGATGGTTTTGGGACATTGGTATGTAATGGAGACAAGATCCTCTGTTAGAAGTAAGTGAGCAAGCACTTTAATGCTTAGTGTAGGTTCTACAAAACCAAAAAAAATGTTGTCCTTCTATATTTAAAAAGAAGAGAAATTTTAGAGTTCTACTCTTCCAAAGTAAAGAATGGACTTCACTTATCCTATGTGGAGTGACCTTGTAGAAAGTGTGGTCAAAACATTGAATCAAAGTAATTCTTGTGTTTAGTGAGTCTAATAGCCTGATAGCAATACTTTTAAAACTTTATTTTTGCTCTTGCATCACTTAAAGCAGGTTAATCAGAAAAGCATGTACTTTATGGAGTCTGTAACATAGCTGTAAGCTGCTAAATGTTTGTTCTACAATTTTTACATTTATCTTAGGCCTTTGCATAATGATGTGCCTCTTTAAAAGCTTATTAACAAAAAATTCTTTAGTGGTAATGATCAATTTCTTACCAAGCTTTAGTGTTTAAGGAAAAATTTATGGAAAGATGCGTTGCTATCCTTCGAAAAGTGAAGTTGCGCGATTTAACCATGAGTTCTTAAAACTGACAAGATTTAGGTCTAAAACAGGCTTCTCCTATGTTGGTACATAAGTGCAAAGGTGACAGTTTAGGTTTGCTTCCAAAATTTTCGATAGAATTCTTCATTTAAAACTTACATTTTACTTGGACTTTATTAAGAGTCTCGCCTTTTTGCCACCTTTCAAGATGGCGCCGTTAATAAATTTGCCTCACCATGACAACGGCAGTTAGATCAAAGAGTTCCGCACCAAAAAAATGGCGACATTCAAAATTGAAGGAGCGAGGAATTTTGAAATTCAACCGCGAAATACTAAAAAACTGCAGCTTTTTAGAAGTGACAATAAAAAGAATATCAAACAGCAAGTGACTTTCTATCTATTTTGAAAATTTTGCGACCTTCCTTGAGGTGTCCAACGAAACTCATTTTTAAAGCATATTTTTGAGGCACAGATCACGGACTAAGGATGCGAATGTCAAAGATTAAGACACGATATTCTAAACTGTAAATGGATTTTCCCCTTGATTAAGCCAAAATTCCATACATGTATATTCTTGCATAAATCAATTCATATTATAAAAAATCTTTGTTAAAAGTTTGTAAATCATGAATACATTTTAAACATCAACTGCACGCAATTATATTTAGTTATGATCAATAAAGACACTGTAGATACAACAGTAAAGGTTGCAATGAAAGTATACATTAAAACTGTTAAACTAACATGATCAAAAGTATAATTTTAAAAGCTCACTTTGTTGCATGAATGAGCATTTCACAAAAAATGGATTCGGTCGCGTTCTTCCTCTGTTTAAATACATTCTTCCTGTGTGTAGCATTTGCTTATTTCGCTTATTTCCTTACTTTCAAAATAAATGGTTTGTACAATACAATCATCAACCTTTTTCAAGACACCCAGAGATTAGTCAAAAGTGGCGTCGGCAAAGAAGGGAGGTGATGCATAATTGGACATGTCCCCCCACCCTCTACATAAATTTTCACGCATTCCAATGTTTTCTATAGACATGTAAAGTTTGTATAACTCCTGCATCATAAAAGTTCTGGCACCCGCACGCAACATTTCGTATTATTGATCGTAGATGTCAACTAGATACATACAGAAAATGTACTTAGAATTAGATAGGAAATGAACAAACAACAAACAAAACAACAGAATATAAGTAAAGTATCATTACTGATTGTTCAAGTTTATATCCAGATCGCAATGATTCGTATATTTTCGATAAAGAGTTAGAAGTAGTACTAGATTACGCGTTCGTAAGGCATTTTTTTTTTACCTCTGAAGATGACTACCGCTAAGGTTGTCGAAACGTCAGTCAACAACAACAAACACAGTCCTTCTCTGGATTATACCAACCTGGACGATCGACATTTACAAACATGTAACGATAC